ACAGACAGAGAGAGACATAGAGACAGAAAGCGAGAAATCACCCCCCAGGGGGGATGGTCATGCCACAATCCCTTCTCCTCCATTCTCCTCTCGGGATCTTGGGCACGCACGCACACGCGCCCGGCGTGAGTTTTAAGCCACCGGGTCCGGGACACGAACCGCGGGTCGACTACGTGGGAGTCCAGCAACATAGCCATTATGCCAACTGCTGGTTCCCAAGAGTTTAGGATAATTATTATTGACACTGAAGACAGACTAAAGGAAAAGGTAAGAAGAAAAAGAATAATCTAAGATAAGAGCTGATTTGAGGAGAAAGTTATCCAGAGACTTGGAAGATCATGAACAGAAACAGATAATGACTGATGTCAACTACAACCAAGGGGGGATGTAGGTGAAGAATGTGATTTGAAAACACAGTTCAAGGAGCTACTAAGTTTAACACCGCCTCTAGTCAACAGATGCAATAGATAATAAACTGTAAATTTCTATTTTTGTGGCCAATGTTGAGTTTAGTTGTATAATTAAGGAGCAATAAAAGGCTTTCGAAGAGTCAACTGATTTTCTAAAACATCAAATGCTCAATAATAAGAATACAGCCATCTAGGGTGGACTAAACTACTACATTTATGGTCATTAAAATTTACATTGATTTATGAAATTATTAATGCCTAAAGATTTACAAGTATTTTCTTCTGTATAGTATATTAAGATGAGAGTGGACTGGTCCTATAGCACAATTTAGTTCTGTGCTTTGGAAGTCAGATACCACATAGACCACTATGGTTCATTCCCAGTCCTGGTGGTTTGAAAAGCACACTGGGCCCATGGACATGTGTGCCCAGATTCTGATAGGATGAAGACATGAAGGAAAAGGGATGGTGGTATTACCATGACTCATGCTTTCTCTCTTTCTCCCACTCCCTACTATCCCCACAAGCACACATGCCCTCTGCAAAAAATAAACAAACAAACAAACAAACAAAGCCCAATAAATAAATAGTAACTTAGTGCAATCTTTTAGTTACTCTAATGAATTCAGGCAATAATGTCATAAACAAAGTTCACCCTGTTAAATAATATAAATATAATGATATGAACAACATGCCATCAAGAAGAAACTCCAAATCTTTAACTAGGTAAAGATCTGTACAAATTGGATAATTACTTAAACCAGAAGCTGGTTCTGTGCCAGAGACCACACACAAAGGAAAGATGGTGGCTGTTATCTTAGATGCAAGGATAAAGTTCTAAACTGGGTAATACACCAATAAAGCAGGCACCTTCTGGGACTTCAATGGCCACTTACGGAAAACACCACCACAAGGGAACCTGGAGCATATCCTGAGTCCTCTGGGGAGTCTAACTACAATGTCAGTAAGACAGTAACAGAAATAATAACTCACACTGCTGAGCTCTTTCTTTCCTCTTTTCCTGCAGTTATGCTACAAGCATCTCCCATGAATGGTACGTGTACACCAATGTTGTGCCCATTTCACAGATGTAGCAAATGAAACTAAACAAAGCTAAGCAACATGCCCCTAGCCTCATTATCTCCTCTTCTGTCCTAATCCTCAAGCTGAATAGCTACAAAAATTCATGGCATTTATACTGCATTTTCTGCATTTGCCTTGCAAATGAAAAGCAATAGCAACAAAAATACTTCAAATAAAACACCCACGAATAACAACAGTTCATCCTTCCCTTCTGAAGAGGTAGACAGGATGAAAATAAATGAAGCCATCATTCTTTATTGTTTGCTGGTAAGAATCTTGAGTCACTTTGGAAGATTATTTGCTGGATAGACAATTCTTATTTTATAAACTTTATGCATTTATAAGGCTCATTTCAGCTAGGCCTTATGCCATAAAGCCCAAGAGGATTGCAGCAATTTGAAAGTGACGATAAATTTTTGAAATAAAACCAGCACGGTGGCTCAGAGACTGGGTAAAATGAGAAATAAAGCTGGATTCAACAAGATTGAGTAGGCCAGTCTACAGAGGAAAATAAGTCTATGGGCAGCTAATTCAGGGTGAAAAAGAAAAGGTGATTTTTCAAAAGAGAACTGCCACTGGCCACCATAAGTTGGATTCAGTCAGAAGATGTATTTTATTTGCTATGCACACTGGTTTGCAGATATCTGAACTTAAAAAATGAGTTTTTCCTCATGTCGCAGGGTTTAAGAAATCTGACCCACTAAGGTCATGTGACTTTTCTGTACTGTTAAACTTCATTGTAATAAAATGAGAGAAACAAAACAAAACTGAGTTCTCATGTAAAACCAAGATTCATAACTTCTCTTAACACATTAGTCAATACTGGTGCTAAGGTTTGATTGTGTTCCTCAGAAATCCATGTGTTAAATTTGGTGAGCCTTAGTAACTGTGTTGAAAGGGTGGAGACTTAATCTGACTATTGTGCTAATAGGTAAGGCCTCAGAGAGGTGACTGGGATTGGATGAGGTCATAGGATGAAGCCCTCATGATTGACTTCCTGAAGACCTACAAGAAGTGCAGACACAGGGGCACACATGCTTTGTTCTTGCTCTGTCTTGACAAGGGATTCCCGGTGCCATTTTAGGACTCTGCGGAGAGTCCCCATTAACAAAATGACCCTCCCAGATGAAGCCCTTTAACCTAGAACATCCAAAGCCACAAGCTAAATAAACCTCTGTTCTTTATGAAATACCAAGACCTCGATGTTTCTGTCATCAGCAACACGATAGACTAAAACAATGGAGTCGATGTTTCACTCAGTATCAGTTGGTGGGAGCTTGCTGGAGTTTTTTTCCTTTCAACATCCTGTGAGCTCTTAAATTTTCCATGTGTTCATCACTCCTATCCTGCTCGCTCACCTCTCACTCATTTACATTATCTGCCAGGTCCTATAGACCTTAGAATTTGCAGCTCTCATTCACAAACCCTGATTATTCACACTTGCTAAGTTGAAGATTAAATTACTGGTGGACCTAATATTAGCCAGTTACTGTCACCGTGAGTAACTCGGTGAAGCTAAGGACCAAGTACTGGCTCCTGGTAAGACTGCTCTCCTTTCAAAAGCCCCTAGTGTGATAGCTTTAAAATACAACACCCACATTTTGGACACTCTTTTCATCAATTAATGGGAATCTCTTCTTAAATTTGGGATCTTTAGGTTCTGTGACTGAACAATGGAAAGTGGCAGAAAAGGTGCTGCATCAGTTTCCAAACCAGCTTCCTACAGGCTATTCTCTTGGGACAGTTGCTTTTAGAGCTAGGCTACTGCCATGACATGAGGAAGCTCAAGTCAGCTTGTGGAGAGACCTAGAGGGCAGACAAGGCCAGCAAGTTCTTGGAAATAGATCCTGCAGCCCTCACTGAGCTCTCCCAGCTTCTGTCTTCAGTAGACCCTGACCAAATTTCAAATTCATAAACAAAATAAATGTTGCTATTGTTTTAATCAAGAAGCTTTGCGATGGTTTGTTATTCAGTGGTCAGTAATAGGAACACCCACTTGGCCCAAACACCAAGAAGGTTTGGTAGGTGAGTGAACAAGGAAGGGGCATTTCCCTATATGGTAGTCTACCTGTGCCTCTCTCACCTGGCCGATGTGCCTTTGGAACTGCCATGTTCATCACTCGTCCTCCATCCTGAGGTTTGGGGGGAGATGCAGTAAATCTGCAGATCCCCGATTCTGAAGGAGTGCTGGAGGTCAGACTGTCCGTGTACTCGTTTGTCCCTGCCGTCAACTGTTCGGATGACGTGTCTGATATGAAGCACTCTGTGATGGTGAACTTGGCATGCCTCAGCTGCTCTTCCATCTTGGCATGTTCGTAGGCCCTTGCCAGCTCTTCATAAGTGGAGGAGGCACTTTCTGTGGAGACCATGCTGCTTCTGGCTCGATCTATATAAAAAAGAGAAAATGAGATGGATGACTCATCATCATAAGTTTGAACCAACTGAATGACCCTTTCTGGCTTGTGGCGATTTCTCGCAGATCGCTGTATCATCTGGCAGGAGTCTTGGCTCTCTATCAGAGGATTCTGCCTCTACCATTCTGAGGCAAGCTTCATAAACCTCAGCAAATTCAGCTCAGGGAATCTTTGTTTCAGCTGAATTGCTGCAGTAAGATGTTTCCAGCCTGGGACATTTCCATAAATAAGTAATGAATACCCCTTGAAAAATCCTGCTTTTAGTGAAAACAGTTGGGAAATGCAGTCTAAATGAACGGCAGTATCCCCCATCCATGCTTTGACTTGCAAATTGATCTGTACCATAGATTCTCATTGGCATGAATGATTTGAGCTCTGGATTCACCTCTTCTGGCTCCAACTTGGGAAGATGTGGTGATGTTAAGAAATAAAGACTTGACTTTTCATGGAAATTGACCACTAGGCTGAGCCGTCCCCAATACCTGGGACTCATCCTTTGTTGTTGCTACTCTTTATGGAGATCACAAAACAATCAGGACAAAGCTCAATACAAACGTGCCTTTTAACTGGGTCACATCATCTTGGTCAGAGATGCGTTTTAATCCCACTAAAAGGTTTCAAAATCACCTCTGTGGAACTCTGAGACTCTTCAAAGAGAAATAACAGCCATAAAAATAAATTCACACAGAGGCACTCCACCTTTGAAACACTGTTTTTTGAAGTATATCATCAAGAACAAAAGAAAAATGAGTATTAAAATTTCCTACAGCTATTAAGTTCAGATATAATTTCTTTTCAAAATTTAAGGGTTGGGGGGGGTGGGCAAACTTGTGCTATTCTTAGGCCCTGTCTTCTCTCAGAAGTGAAATCTTGGTGCTTGATAGCACAGACTAGATGACTTACCTTATAATCAAGCCCTGTTTAATTGTCAAACAGATGAGCCTATGTTCCCTATAAAGAGTGCTATGGCCTCATCATGTCACTTCAAGTGTAGTGTCTAGATTCCAGAGAAGGTAGTGGGTCAGATGCCCTGAGTATCATCAGCAATTATTACAATAGTGTAGGTGAAAATTTTTAAATGTCTCTATTTCTTCTAGTGGGGTAGGAACTAAAAGGAAACAATAGCAGGAGTCTGAGATTCAGGACACCTGCAAAGTAGATACTTTTTCATTCTGTTTTGCAAAAGTTATTGGCCCTACATGTAGTAAATACCATTAGTTGCATTAGTAACTGTTAGATGAACAGTTTAACAAGGTAAAAGTAACGTTTAAAAGAGAACACAGAAAAGTAAAGCAAGGCCCCTCTCTCCTATACCCAAGAAGCCCAGGAAATACATGGTGTAGGCAAAGGCAAAGTTTGGGTCATGCTGGTCTCTGGGGACTGAGAAGGAAGTATACAGGGCCATCATACCTGTGTCCTGTGAGGGGCTGACACTGTAACTGTCACTCTCCTTGTCCACCGATCCCGTAGCCCTGGGTGTTGGCAGCCGCCAGTCTGTGGTGAGGGTGTGTGCTGAGATGGTGGGGTGGGGTCTGTTGAGGGTCCACTGGCTGGCATACCTGTTTCTTGCTGTGGGCCCAGCCTTTGCATTCCTCCTGGTGGTAGGATCTGTGAAGAGCCAAGAATAATGTCTGCCATTGTCTTCAGGGGATTGTGACAGCATGGATCAAGAGTTCAAGGCAGTTATCCTCACCAAGTCCTACCGACCCATTTGAGCCCTCCTTGAAGGCTTCCTTGACTTTTCCCACCCAGAGATTATTATTTTCCTTTTTCTTACATTTCCAAATATTAATTTGTTACATAAACATTTAAATATCCCTGTAGGAGAAAGCACACAATACTTGGATTCAAAAGCTAAAGATTTGAGTCTTGCTTTTGGTTGTTAATACTTTTGTAATCCAATGCACATTATTTAAACTTTGTGAGAATCATTAAAAGGAGGGAACTAGGAAAAATATTTTCTAACATCTTCTCTAAATTTATTCTACCTTGAATTGTTATGAATTGAATCTTGTCCTCTCAATAGATATTTCCATGTCCTAATCCCCAGTAGATCAGAATGTGATCTTATTTGGAAAAAGGATCATTGCAGATGTAATTAGTTAAATGAGCTCATATTGAGTAATGTAGGCTCTTAATATAATATGACTGGTGTCCTTATAAGAAAAGGGACAGACACAGGAGGGGACAGTACCATGGTATGATGGGAGCAGAGACCAAAGTGCTGTAGCTGCAAGGAAGAGATGCCAAGGATGGCAGACAGAAGCGAAAGAACAACAAGGAGAGATTCTCCCCTTTAGATTTCAAAAGGAGCATCACCTTGGGGACATCTGAACATTAGATTTAAGCTCCCAGACCTCTGACATAATACATTTCTATTCTTTTAAGTCACCCAATTTATGGTACTTTGTTCCAGTAACTCTGGGAAATTCAGTTTCAATTATGCTTCATTTTATTCACTGCAAGCTCCTAGAGCAGAGAGGCCACATCTTTTTGTTACAACACTCTCTTAGCCCTTTGCATATTGTGGTATAGCTCTTCAATGAGATTGTCTTTCACAAAGATGACTTGGATTATTTAATATAGAGAACAAATGGTTAAGCAGTATTTGGATTTCAGATATCTACCATTCCAGAAACACAAAGATTTATGTACATATAGCTATTGCCAAGTGGGTACCATTTTCTCTAAATCTGAAACTAAAGACAGCAAGTCAAATAGGGGGACAAAATTCTTAGCTCAACTTTGGTGAGCTAAGAAAAAAGATGCTCCAACAGCAGAGTGTCAGACATTGGAGTGGGCCATGGCATTGCATTTTCTGGAGTTCTGTGGAAAAGGGGAGAGGTTTTGTTATCTGAAATGATTTTTCTGGAGCTCCATCCTAAAGGCAACCCAAGGTCTTAAACAGAAGTTTATCAAGCACCAATTCTCTGCTTCTCAAGGAGGGAATTTATCCAGTTATATTTCAAGCTGGTCTGTTGAGTCTAAATAGAGCAGTTTGCATCCACTGCTCAGCATTATGAAACTGAAAGGGTGACCTGTGATATACTCACACTGACTTATTTACATGCACTCATGAAACTAGAAGTCTTTTCAGGGAGGGGTGAAGGTATCCCTCTTTGATTCATGCATAGAGTCTACAATAAACTCTAGCATACAGAATTTCCTGAAGGGATTCTTACAGCCTGGGGTCACTTTATGGATGAGGCAATGGCAGCTCAGAAAGAAGTGACACCACTACTATGTGTTTAAAAATGGAAGCTAAGTTTTCTGCCTTTCAGTTCAGATATTGTTATTTGACTACATATGACATCATTTATCCTAGGCACCTTAAATTTTCTAGTATAATTCCATGTCAGAAGATGAGACGGGGACACTAGGAAGTGGTGAGATGACTTTTTTTTTAAAAGAAAGATTTTCCTCTTTGCAAATTTCTAGTTACTGGACTTTGAGCCTAATACATCATTATGATGCTGGAGAGGTACATTACAATGACAACAAAATCAATATATCTTAAGATTTCCTGGGTCATCAAAATATTCAGTCTTGGTGCATATTCTCTGGGGCATTAATTCTATGGCACATTTCATCCTTTACTTGCAAAATTCCATAAAAGACTTTTTTCTGGAAGCTTTTTTATATTTTGCCCTGATTACAATGTAAATGAGTTATGCTGGAGTGCCGAGCTCTCTACACAACAAGGTGTGAATGATAATTGTGTTTCTCCACTGAAATGGCAGGAGAGAGGTCCTCAAAGAGATGGAGAAACATTATCATGGGTAGGAGGCTAAATGTCTTCCAGGCACTATCGACTTGATAAGTGGAGCTTAAATAAGTGGAGCTTGTTATTTAAATGCTAATGAATCTTTTCCAGAAAATTACCCAGTCACTTACATAAGTTTCAAGGGTTCTCAGTTTTATTCTTTTTTAAGTTTCTTGCACAACTACAGTTGTAGATCATTCTAAGCAGGTTTACCCCTGGCATCCTGGATGCTGGAGGAAGGGAGCTGGCTGTGGGGATCGCCCCACTTCGAGAGCACAATTATTTCCCTGAATTCCTCAAACCCTTGCCTGTGCTTCCTGCCCCTGGAGCTCATCCCCCAGTGATCTGTGCTTCATAGAGTCTTTACCCCCAGGATCCCTTTTCTTATTAAGACCACCCTATTTGGGAAATCCCATGGGAAAGTTGCACATGTTGTCTTCTATTCTGAGCCATAGTTCTTCTCAAGTTAATTTTTTTCATTATCCACCCCCCTTTTTTTTCCTAGATGAGGACAGTTTTACCAGTGGCCTAAATATGTGGAAAATATAGGTCACAATATTAATTTCCTTGAACTACAGCCTGCAGTTACAATCTGTGCTAAGCAGGCATCCCAGAGTTGAAATTGTCTCAGTATGTAGACTACTGGGGTACTTGACATATTTTTTTTTTTTTAATAATCAGGTTTTGCAGCCATTATTTATTTATTTATTTATTTTTTACCTGAAATGAACTCTTCTGTCTGATAGCTCCTGAGATAACAGCTAAAGTACAATTTTTATTTCAATTCTACTTGGTAGGTAGCCTCAGTTGTGTAATTTACTAGTTAACCTAATAAGCAAATAAATGTGAGGATTTACTGCCCCTGCATGGAAAGTATTTTGTTAGCTCCCATCCCAACATTCTAATACAAACAAAACTTACTGGTTAAGCATGGTGCTTGCTAAACAGTTAGTGAGTTACTGGGTAAGTGCTATAAATAGTTCTTGGCCTTTTACCATCAGCTCTGAACTTGAAGTAAACTTCTGTCTGTTGAATAAAGTTATTTTAATTATCCTGAATTTGGGATAAGAGAGGATTTGGTGGATAATAGGGTTACAAAACATGTCATGCATACTGTGATCACAGCATTAGACTGGCTTTACCTCCTGCTGTTGGTTTCCATATCCTATCTCAGCTTTACGTGATTAATTTGCTAGCTGTCTCATAAAGGGGATGAAACTGGCACATATGAGCATTCCTTCATTTAACTAACAAACGTTTGCCAACGGCTTATTATATGCTGGACCCCACATATATCTCACTCACATCATATATATACCTCATTCACATCATATATACCTCTCTCATATCATATATTTTTCCCATAATAGTATCTCTAATACCATTCTGGGTGATAGGGTGTGTATTTTATTTTCTTCTTTGAAGTCTCAACAATAGGGATTCTATCTGTATTGTAAACTCTTCTTACCAAACATATCTTTCTATATATCTATATTTAGATAAAAAATCTATCTTTTGCCCCTATATATCCTTTAAGTAGTATCATCATCTTTCCTTAAAAGCAATATAGAGTAGTTGTAGGTGGGTCTTTAGAGTTAGGTGGCCTAGGTTGGAAGTCCATTCTTTGCCCATTGGTTGTGTAGCTCTGCCCACGTGATCTTATTGGATGTACCTATTTCCCACATCTTTGAGAGTGGGTGACATCACTGGCCACTTTGAGAGCTGCTGTGACTTGAGTGAGACCACCTTGCTAGCACATCCTAAACACATAGGGAGGGCCTAACAAACCATGAGGCCTTCCGGGCTATGATTCTTGAACAGCAAACACTGGACCAGGAATGAAACAGAATCTGTAGTTATTGGGATCATGGTGGTAGGGGATTTCATGTATCAGAACCCACAGGAGACACAGGAAATTTAACAGAGCAGCAGACACAGCCAAGTGATGTGTTTTCACAAGTTGGAAAGAGATAAATGGCAAATTGTTGCAATTTCTCTCATTCTCATCATAAAAATTTGCTGCAAGTCTTTGGCAAACTAATAAAATGCTTAAAAAATAACTTTTCCAATGCAATAATTTAGTGTGCAAACAACATATTTTAGATGTTCTTCCTAAAAATATAGAGTTCTTGCAATGACAACACAGCCCTAACATAAAGAATAGAAGGATAGTGTCTTTTACAGTTAGGAAAATAGAGAGAATTGAATCTCTGTAGATATGCCAAGCTCCATTTAGAAGAACTGTCTCCCTGAAAGAGTCAATAAAGGTGGAGTATGTGACCAGGGGTGGAAACTTCTTGGGTACTAGAAGCCACCAGGAAACTGGCTTTCAGAAGTTCATGGCATCCTTCAGACTCCTGTGGTAAATCCCAAGGGGACTGCTCACCTGCTATTTCTAATTCTAAATAAAAAAATGAATTTTGTCAGACCCTCACTCTAGGGAATATTTAATAAAAAATGATGGTGAGTATCTTTTACTAATACAGAATAAAAGTAATATGATAAATGGTTAACCTAAATTTTTGAGGGGGATGCGACACCCAGAGAATAATGTATGAATTTGAGTAGATTTGCCTGATGTTAGTAAACATTATTTAATGGTGTTTGTCACAAAAGAAAGGAACATTGCTCTATAAGCTGTAGTGTTTCCATTTTACCCATCAGGCTAAAGCCCTGGGAAGGCCTCCCCACATTTCCAGGTAATGTCCAAATGTGGTCAATGGCTTTTGAAGTCTGGTATGAGCAGGCCAGTGATTCCTTATCTCATTCTTTGTCACATTCCCTGCTACTCACTACCTTCCAGTGCTGCTTATATCCCCAGCATAGAGAGAGTCTTGAAGCTTCTCTGTTCTTGCCTCTGGCCTGCTGAGCTGGATTCTGCTGTAATTTTGATCATAATCTGTGCCTTCTCCTCAACAAAGGTCTTCCCAAAGGACTCAGATCCAAGGCAATGCTACTCACTGCTCCTACATTCCCTGCGACTCATGATTGTTTTATCCTGTTTTATTTTGTCTAGCACTTACTGAGACATGAAAAATACTTAATGTCCGCCTTCACCAACTAAAATTAAATAAATGCATTTTGTATCTAACTGATAATATGTTCCTATCACCTAGCATGTAGCCATATATATAAAGTAAAACCTTGATAAATGTTTTTGAATGCTAAGAGCATGAATTTTTAAACTTCACCAGCCATGCTTAAAGGGTTATACCATGAGATACTTATCTCTGTCCCTCCATGTGCATCCCGTCTGCCACTTACCTTCCACTCACTTACAGTTTCTGCATGTGACTCAGACTCAGTTCTCTTCTCATATATTAAATGCCATCAAATCAACTTCCCATTATTCAAGGGCTGAGTGTGCTTCTGAAAGATTCCTAGTACTTTGGTTTCACCATCTTTCCCCATCTTAGCTATTTGTGATAAGCCTCTGTGCATTTCTCTGCTAGTTGATCATTGAAGGGAGGTGGAAATGCATGTTGCTTTTTACTTGATGTGTTATGAACATGGTAAGCTAGAGGGATTCTACACTGCTGTAGTAAAGAGGCACACTTCCTCTTGTGTTCTAACCATTGGGAAAGGGTTCTTCAGTGAGTTCTCCAAATAACGAGCATCAGAGTCACTCGGAACAAAGACCTTAAAACATTTCTTAAGAGCAAGGTTTTCATGGGCATCCCATTCATAAAGCCAATTCTGACTCATGTCACACTCATAACTTCAGAAGGTACTCATGTCATCAAAGAGGGAAGGGGGTAGGTTAGGTTTGACAAAGAGGTGCAATAAGACTTCATTAGCACATTCTCTAAAATGGTTTTTCAAATGCATTTCCATATCTGTTAAAAGTGTTTCCTATCCATTTCAATGTTTAGTCAACAGTTGGCCTCATGAAACTCATTGCATTACACAAATGTTACACAAACTAGAATTTATGAAGAACAGCTTTTTACATTGTAATGTTTATTTTTCTAATGATAATACTCTACTCTGAGAATGTACATTTTTGCAGAAAGAGTGATTAGAGATTTAAAAGCTAAACATCAAAGCTTCCAAAATGATAATAATTGGGACATCAATTTCTCGGTCCTTTAACAGATTTAGAAACAACTTCAATTGTGAAGAAATGAGAATATCTAATTAATAAGCTCTAGATGCACATTATAAGATTTAAGTTCATTGCAGTAATTAATTTCCATACATAATGGATGCAAATATTAATAACTAAACCCAACAAAATCTCCCGATTAGCACGAACTAGAATTTTTCTCCAGCAATATGTTCAAGAGAAAAGTATGAACTTTTTCTTACGAGAAAGGATAGACAGATCTGAAGCTGAATCTTTGTTTCACTACTTATTCTCTGTACAACTTTGGGCTATTTATGTAACTTCTCTAAGACTTATATTTCTCATCTATAAAATAGGGGCCATGATAACTGCTGTATAAGGTCCCTTACTAAGTTGTTGCAAAGATAACATGGATGGTATTATCTTTCCATCTCAGTCATACACTAGACACACACTAGTGTTAACTGTCTTCCCCTTTTCCTGTGCTGTCTAAATTTTAAAAATTGAGTAACCTGGAATTTCTAGCACTTTCTTCATTAAACAAATACCAAGGGTTACTGATTTCAACTGGCACAATTTTAATAACAGTTAATATCAAACAATAAACACACAATATCCCAATTAAAGATGCTCTTATACCTATTTATTCATTAGACATAAGGATAAAAAGCCCCACATTTTCATTTCATAGAGACAGAGTGTTAATATGTTTTCAGCATTGTAACACCCACTCATTTTAAGTGTTGTTGACCACTCACTCGTTCCCGGCCGAGCATCCGAAACATCCACTAAGGGCCCAGTGGCCTGAGACACTGATTGGTAGTGGACCGTGTGAGTCACTGTCAGGGACTTTTGTTTCGCTGCCTCTCCAAAATCAGCATCCGTTAACAAGACAGTAGAGCGATCATCTAAAGAATGGCAGAATACAGAAAGCCCAACACATTATTCCTCTTTAAATGACTTCATTACCTTGTCTCTCCTTAGATACTTAAGTTATTATTGATGACACCAATAATAATAACCTCATCTAAAGCAATAAAATGACTAATAACTCAAGCATTGTATGAGTATCCACAGTATTGTGTACAGAATCTTATCTTTAGGTGTTGACTTTGTAAAGAGAACAGTCAATGTGCAGAGAAAGGTCTCTCCTTTCCCTTTGGACTTGGTTTCTTTTCATTCAGCAAACATCGATTTGAGAAATCTTGCTGTGGTAGTCATCCTTTTAATAGTGTTTGGGGTTTATGTATTTGTCAAAAGCTCACCTAAGCCTCCATCAGCCATGCCAGCACCATTGACTGATGAGGTGGTCATTGAAAATGGGTCCCTTTAGGTGCAGAGAAGCTCTGTTTACAGTGTTGGAAAAACACCACTGCAGCTCCCTGTCCTGGGCTTGGCTCCCACACTGAACTTGGCAGATGTTCAGAGAAGACAAAAAGGAAGAGAAAAAAGCTAGTCTTTGGAGCTTATTGATAGTTCTATTTTAGAGGATTTGAAGAATGTTCCTTTTCCCCCAACCTCTTCTAAGCTTTAATTACTCTAGAGCATCCTTTAATTGACTTCTCCTAAAATGACTCACTTGTCAGATTTCCAAAGTCCTATTGGCGTAGGTGCTTAGAGGTGAGAGGAGCAGGTTCCTGAGCTCAGATGAGTTCTGAGTCTTTGAGTGCACCAAACAGGAGATTGTGTGGAATTTTCATGACTTCGTTGTGATGCTTTTTATATGTCTTTTTTTTTTTTTTGAGAGGTTTTTGCTGTAGGGTGTGTGGGCTCGCCAGAAAGCCAGAGACAGAGAGATAAAAAGCGAGAAATCACCTCTCAGGGAGGATGGCCACGCTGCAATCCCTTCTCCTCCATTCCTCTCTTGGGATATTGGGCACACACACACACACGTGCCTGGTGTGAGTTTAAGGCATTGGGTCTGGGACTCAAACCACGGTTGACTACATGGGAGTCCAGTGACATAGCCATTATGCTAACTGCTGGTCCCCTTTTCACACTTTTGTAAGAGCTTTTATTCTTGTCTTTTCGGGGGGCCCAAAATGCCCTAAAAAAAAAAAAAAAAAAAAAAAAAAAAAAAAAAAAAACCCTAAATAAATAAATCATAGTGATCATGATGATCTCTGAAAATAGAGCCAGCCCATCAGTCTCTTAGCACATGCAATAAATTAAACTCAATAATGGGCCCACCATATCTATGTAAGAAACTATAAACAAGATGCTTTTTATATGTCTTTTTTTTTTTTTTGAGAGGTTTTTGCTGTAGGGTGTGTGGGCTCGCCAGAAAGCCAGAGACAGAGAGATAAAAAGCGAGAAATCACCTCTCAGGGAGGATGGCCACGCTGCAATCCCTTCTCCTCCATTCCTCTCTTGGGATATTGGGCACACACACACACACGTGCCTGGTGTGAGTTTAAGGCATTGGGTCTGGGACTCAAACCACGGTTGACTACATGGGAGTCCAGTGACATAGCCATTATGCTAACTGCTGGTCCCCTTTTCACACTTTTGTAAGAGCTTTTATTCCCTCCAAGAAAAAATTTGTTTAGGATATATGGATTTTTCATGTTTTCAAGGACTGCAGCCCAGGATGATGCTCATACAAGTTTATCAGTCATCCGGGACCATGCTACAGCGTTCCTCAACACCGGAACAGTAATGTGAAAGTCATAAACAACACAGCTAGACTTCAGTGCCCAAAAAAGGCTCTGAACAGAATGAACCTTACAAAATCCAATTACTCAGGCTCTGGCAGGAAAGGAAAACCTCTTCAAGTTAGAATAAAATTTCTTGGCAGAGAAACAGAGGAAAGGCTGCCAAGATGTCTGCGAGCGTCCCAGCACGTGGTGCAGCACAGGTCAGCACTGCAGCAGGCACCCGCGCTCGCTGTGGAGGACAAGCCAGCAGCCATCACCCAGTCCCTCAAGGAGGGTGCCTTTCTACAGGGACAGAGTTTTACAGCTCCGTCTGGCACCAGAGATCTCACATCTACATAGCTTTTTCATCCACAGAGTGGATAGGTTGTGTTTTCTACATGCAGCCCTGCTAAGAGCACAGCAGATCATCTGTTAGGCTTGGTTATGAACTTTTAATGGAAAACTTCAGGTGCCTGTCAGAGCGTGAGGTTGACCCTTTATTCTGGCTAGAAATTAATGGCACTCTACTATTGGATTCTTGTAGTTGGAGTCCAAGCATTTTAAAGCATTGTAGTACTACTTCCCTGATAATTAGAAAATGCCATCGACCAGCTGTCAGGTATCACCAGGAGGTAAACGACTCTTGGTGATAAATGATCCTGTTTGGACCATGATGTATCTCTGGCTGAGGGTCATTATTACAGACAGAAATGACTGGCAGACTTTCTCTGGTGTTACACCAGCGAAGATTAGCTCCTGGGAGACCATGCCCCTTTCATAGGATCTACCTAGCTACCCATTTTAATAGCTCGATTTAGAATTACTTATAAATCTAGTAAGAAATATTTAGCAGATCTCTTGTTATGTAACCACTGTGATGTTGACAAGCTACAAAATCTCTCTACAGCTCATTTTTAAAAAGAGAGTGCTTTTTAAACATGTTAGTTGGAAGGGTTAAATTAAATAATGTATATAAAGTGCTTACAAAAGTACTTAGCCAAATGAATTACAGTTTGATTTCTGAAGTGATATTCAATGTTTTCTTTTTTTTTTTTTTGAGAGTTTTTTTTTTTTTGTTTTTTTTTTTTTTTTTTTTTTTTTTTTAGGGCATGTATATTCACCAGAAATACAGAGAAAGACAGAGAGACAGAAAGCAAGACATCCCCCCTGGAGGGATGGTCATGCCGTAATCCCTTCTCCTCCATTCTCCTCTCGAGATCTTTGGCATGCACACACGCACGCCCAGCATGAGTTTAAGCTACTGGGTCCAGGACTTGAACTGTAGTCGACTACATAGGAGTCCAGTTGACATAGCCATTATGTCAACTGCTGGCCCCATTCAGTGATAATTTTTAGTTTTAATGCCCAATATATTGAATTAAACAAAAGAGATTCCAAGAATGCCACTGGGGGATAAAAAAGGGATAAAAGTAAGACATGGTGCCTTATCCATCTATGAACAAGGTAATAAAACCTCACATGCCCCTCAGAGAATGTGGGCGGTAAATACTTAACAGGAGTCAGTTGGCTGGCAGAGCCAGTTGACTGGGAGCACACTGGCTTTGGTCAGTCTCTCTCCAAGTGCTGTTATACATGGACAAGACCTGAGTCCAGCAAGGGCTGCCCAGGCCTTGGACTTTTAGGAGCACTAGCAGGGAGGGCAGGGCAGGGCAGGGGAGGAGATGTTTTGCTCATCTGGCCTCTAACTATGTCTTTGTGGCAGGAGGTACCTGTGCTAAGTGATAGGAGTCAGGTGGTTTTATGCCAGTCACAAGAGAGGGCTGCCTTGGGGCCAGGTAGCAGAAAACACCTTCCAAAACAAATAATGGAAAGAGGCAGCCTTGGAAGCTGCCAGAAGCCTGGTGGGCCTCAAAGGGGAAAAGTTCTTGGAAGTAGCCTGCAGTTATGGAAGGAAGGGACCACAGTCTGTCACTGGAGGAGGATAACAGCAGTCAAGGAGTGGCTGGTGAGGACTCTGGTTCTGGTCCTGTGTGACTTGGGCAATTCACTCAAATCTCTCTAGTCTCAGTTACAAAATAGCCACATTTTCAAAGGCTGATTGGAAGGTTAAATTAAATGATGCACACAAACATCTTTCAACTATGTGACATTTAGAGAGTGTTCATGAATGGTAGCTATTCTTCTGATAATTATTAAAACAGGAATATAAAGTCTCTGATTCTGGTCTAGTAGAACTACCTAGACAGGCTGTGTGGGACAGCAGACTGTGAGTGAAAAGAGGGTGGAAGGAGTCCAGGCCCTGGGTTCTGAGAACAAGCCACAAAACCTCTCTTGTGGCTGTTCAAAAACCATGAAACAAGGGACCAGCAGTTAGCGTAATGGCTATGTCGCTGGACTCCCACATGGTCGACCGTGGTTCATGTCTTAGACCCGGTGGCTTAAAACCCACACCAGGTGTGTGTGCGTGCGTGCCCAAGATCCCGAGAGGAGAATGGAGGAGAAGGGATTGCAGTGTGGCCATCCTCCCTGGGGGATGATTGCTCGCTTTCTGTTTCTCTGTCTCTGTCTGGTGAGCGCACGCACCCTATGGCAAAAACCTCTAAAAAAAATAAAAATAAAAATAAAACCATGAAACAAGGGAGATGGGGGTTTCCCAAAGTGCTTTGGAGGAAACAATTCCAATTCCAGGATGTTTCTGGGATGCCAAAGGGTGGGAGGGAGAAATACACTCTGTAAGAACATTTGCTTATTTAACTGTTAAGTATGGTTTTAAGGTTTTCTTTCTTTCTTTTTATTTATTTATTTATTTATTTTTTGGTGATTATAGCTTTTTGATTTTGTTGTTGTTATTTACATTTAAGCATTGTACATCCTTATGGCATACAAAATGAATTTTCTTGGTATGAATACACTATATGTTACTTCAAAGTTACTCCTTCTAGGAGTTGATGAGGAGATCATGGAGTGGAATTAATATGTGTGCCTTCTGGGTTTATTTGATTACAGACATTTGTTCTCTGGTGCAGCATCCAATAGCCTCCCTAGGAAAGCCCCAAATGCAGATCAGAGTTGTTCCAGGAGACCACTGAGGGGCATATTAGTCATATTTTCCCATTACTCACTGGTATTTATTATTCTCCTCAAAAACAGTCTATCTTTTCACTGTTGCACTCGCTGCTCCACTCAAGAGTCTATTCTGTCTAGTATTTCCTATGTCCCAGGGTTTAGCTGAGAAAGCATGGCAGGAGCAGTCACTTTGTGCGGCTGGCAATCAGGAAACCTTACCGATGGTCTCCATCGTGTCTCTCTCTTCAATCAAAAGCTGAGCCCTGGGTATGTCAATATGCATTCTCAGGGTCTGTTGTTGCTTGCTCAAGGTATCTGAAGTCCGGGTATTCTTACTGGGAATAAAATAGGAAGAACGTGTTAACAAATCCAGTCCAGTATTACATTATATCAACATTTGCCTATACACCAACTTGGTTTATTGTTCAATTATAGAAATGCCTTTGAGGAAGGGAAGGGGAGAATTATATGCTATAACATTGTATATCATAGCATGATGATCCTCAAATATTGATATTTTTTTGTGATCAAATATCATTCATTCAAGTGATATTTATTAGTATTAAAATTGGACAGACTGGGGAGGTTCAGAAAGTACAAATTATCAGTAGAGATTAGTTCTATATGTATTAATAGAATCTTTATAAATTTCTTATTTCTTGTGTGAAAGCTAAAAGAAACAAATAAAAAGTGATTTTAAAACCAACAGGATTTTCACTTGTCAGATGTGAGATATTCCAATGATGGTAAGGAAGGAATCATGGGTACCATTGGAGGGGAGTTTTACTAAAGGATTTCTACTTATATCTGGCATTATTTTATTTTTGTCCCACTAACAAATCACAGATCTTGTTAGCTTCCCTGACATAAGTTTACTTTCTTTAACCAACAGTCATTTTAAAATAGGGGGAAAAAAGCAATTACTAGAATAATTTTATCTCAAAATTTGTGTACCAGAAAATTACTCTTAGAGTGAGATGTTCTCTACAAGTAAATGAAAATAGATAATAAAACTGCATGGTATAATCATATTCAGTTATAGCCTGCAGTAAAAAAAAATAAATAAATAAATAAAAAGAGAGAGAGAAAAAGAAAAGCTCCCTGTTGCACGAAAATTTAAAGAAGTCTATAAAATCCTTAATTAGCAATATACTTTAGAAGGATGGTAGGGTGGTTGTTCAGTCTTTATAGAACTGTAATAATTTGCTGGATGTTAAAATAAAATTTACTGAAATACCCTCTAAAAAGCAGAAGTCATTTCAGATAGATCAATCAATCAATAATCTATGGCATCTGTAAGTCCAGTTAAATAATCGCCAAAATCTGTTTTGAAAAAGCTTTTTGGATCCTAGTTTACTCAGTGATAGTTATCTCTGTGCTGTTACTTTTAACAGAAGAATAGAAATAAGGTATCCACACTCCATTTCAGATTCTTTTCCCTGCAACCGAACAGTTACCCCAGAGTCCCAGGGCTTTGCCTCCACAAATAATTCCCTGTCAATGAGTACTCCTGAGCCAAGCGGCTGTCGAAAACTTAATAATCTGAAGGTCAAGTTCACTCAAGTAACTCATCCTTTAGACATTTCCCTGTCGAGGTCTCTGTTAATCTGAATATTTTACAATACCCTGTTCTGTATCTGAGTATAAACGATACATCACATAAAAAAATACAATTTCTGCAAGTCCTGCTTAGGACTTGATCTTGAACCAGATTTCTGCACTGCAGATGAGTAACTGGGTTATGTACCCAGATCATGTTAATTACGCAGAGCCCAAATTCAAGCATTTTGGCCTGATTTTTCACATATCATACTCTTTCAAATTACTCAACTAACTTCTCATTTTGTTTGTGGTTTAAAAACAGAAAGATAAAAGGAGAAAAATAACACAAAAATGTAAATATTTGTGTACATTTGGTTACTTGGGGGTCTGCATTTATGTCATGCTTAGACAAGCTATATTTCCACAAAAACATATGGGGAACTACTCCTTTGTGAATACCCGAAAGATCTGTTTAGAAACTTCACTAGGGACTTGAGCTTGTCCTTGCACCAAAAATAGAAGTGTGAGCTAGTTCCTTCTGCTCATCATGAATAGTTATGAGGCAGTCAGCGGCTGCTCTATTAAGCAGCTCTGAGCACCAAGTGCAGCCTATTCTTAAACAAGGATGAGCGGTCTGCTATCAGACTGGCACAGGAAGCAGACTGGCACAGGAAGCAGGTTCAATCACTGCTGTGAGCCACTGCAACTTGCACAAAGACCTAACATAGGTCTGAGTCTGATGGACAAGAACAATCAAGGTTGGAGGTAAATTCTTCCTTCTCCTGGGAAGAAGACTGTGTTACACTGAACTGGCAAGAAAAATGACCTAATAAACCTCAAGATTTCTTGGGAGCTAATTAGTCCTCCCGCCCCTTGCACTTTCTGTTTCCTTTACTTAGAACACTCTCTCCGTCTTTCCACAGCACCCACTTGGTTGGTCCCTTGTCTCAGATGACACATTTCCAGTGGAGCCAGGTTGGCCTTGCTATGGAATTCCACTTGTGCTCTCTCCTCATTTTCCAATTAATGTTGTCTCCCAGATACTTAATACTCTCTAGCGTATGCTTTAATTGAATCAATTGAACATTGAATTGATTTATCTTATTTATTATCTGTCTCTCTCACCTGAATATATGCTCCATAAGGGATGTTTTAAGCTCTTCTTTTCTCTTAAATCTCCCTTAAAACTGTATGTGGCCAAAGTAGGTACTCAATAATTTGTTGAAGATTGTTGAGTAAGTCATGTTTTGGGGGGGTACAATGCAAGCTGAGGGCCATGTCCCCAAAGGCCTTGTTCTGGGACAAAAGTGCCCTTTCTGTTATAAAAGTGTTACTAGGTCTCAAATATGTGTTTCATTATATTAATATTTGCTACCATATTGGACAATCTACCATTATATGAAAGATAATTCTCAAAATTGTAATTGGTCATTAACATGGTAACAAAACCATATAAAAAAGTTATTTGAAGAAACCTCACTTGTGACCTGGAAAAAGATTACAAATGTTTTCACCGTGGAAGCAAAACTGCATCTTTTATGTGATGTGTTGGGTCACAGGAAAAGTCATGACATATTTCTTCATGTTTTTCTGTGCAAAAATGCATCATGACTTTTCTGAAAACCCAAGATCATGCTAAATGTATTAGTTATCACTGAAATATAATCTTTGATCAACCACTTGCCATTTAGTGGTTTGAGTGAATTGACTAGAGGAGAGCTGAGGGTATTTACAGGACATGGCTTTTCCCAGCTCAAGGAAAATGTTATTCCATCACTACAACTCCTAATATCTCTTCAAACTTTGTGAAGAAAAATATTGTACAGCCTACCTTGCCGACAAATATTATATAGAGCATACTTTAAGTATAAAATAACTATAGGGCTCTTAGGAGTATATCACATTATAATACCTGGAAGAATATTGTTTTCACTGTGTGTATAGAAATATGAACATCAAAAAGCTAAATTAATTTAACTTCTCAGTTTTAACCTTCTATGCCTACAACCAGCTATTTAATACTGATCCTTGGACATTTAACAAGTGTTGGCTAGTTCTTTGCAGAAAGTCAGTCTTACCTCTTAGGAGATTGGTATGTTTTTTAAAAACATACCAGTGATATGAAGGCTCTCCTGGAAGGTTTGGATTGTCTCTGTCTGTTCTGTAGCTGCACCTGCCTTTCTTACCTACAACCAATCCTGCGGAAACATGC